GTGAGTGCTCAGAGCTGCCCACCTCCACACCAGCTCCAGGAGCCCTCTGCAGCAGCCATGTATCTAACTAAGCTAATTAAGCAAGTGCCTAAATACCCAGACAGGCTGAGCCTAAGTCCTGCTCAGGTAAGCAGAGGTCACCTGGTTCATCTGGCCAAGGCTGCTCACCCCACAGACACAGTGGGGACACTGGATCCCCATCCTAGAAAGCAAAGGGGCCAAACAAGCACTGACCACATCATCACAAGGGGCAGAAGGCACCTTCCCCCTGACCCCTGGCACACGGGAGGTCCCCAGGGCCCCTTGTACCCACCCAACCTGGAACAGTTCTCACTTTTTTTCTTTAAATGCAAAAAACGCCCTCAGGATGCAAACCAGTCCAAAGAGACACAGGCTACATACAAAAACCAGACACAATAAGCCTTGCATTGCATGTCTACAGGAATCTACCAGGCGTGCACGGACAACCACACCGACACCGACACAGCAGCGACACCTCACCTCCACCTAAACCACCCAAAGGCATTTTTTTTGTTTCTTTTGTTACAGAAGGCCACTTTGAAATAAAACAAAGAAAAAAAAAGACAAGGAGCCCAACAGCAGCAGCAGCAGCCGGCTCAGTGGGATGACGAACGCTCCGGACATGCCGTGGGCACCTCGAGAGCAGAGGCCTCTGCAAGGGCCGTCCCCTCTGTCCAGCTCTGCTCAAGAAACCAAAACCCAGCCGTGCCAGTGGCCAGGGGCCCAGTGGTGACACTGGAGCCCTTCTGGCCTGGACACCCAACACTCGGCCCCAGCACGGACAGACAGACGGACACACACACACACACACATGCAGAAAAACCCCGACGGCAGCAGCTTGGCTCCAGCCCTTATTTCCCCATGTGAAATGTGGGTCCCCAGGGACACACGAGGGTCCCCAGCTGCCCCCAGCTGCCCTCAGGAACACACGACCCGCTGCCTCTCAGATGCCACGCAAACAACTGCAGAGAACACGGGAAATCAGATCACCTCCCTTCCTAAGATAAACTACACAGATCTGGCAAATTTTTACTGGTGAGGCCAGGAATACATTCCTGTATCTAAAGTGTCAGCGTTAAGAGCTCTTTTGAGGATCATTTCAAAGCAGCAGTTTGGGCTCTGTGCCCTCTGCCTGCCCCTCCCTGGCGGGCCAGCTGGCACTGCCCAGCACGAGGTGCCCCGAGGCCATCCCGGGGTGCTGTGCCCACACAGTGCCCACACAGTGCCCAGCTGCCAACACCCCCGGCCGTGCTGCCTGGGCTCCAAGCACAGCTCCAGCTCCCGAGCACCACTTGGCTGCTGGCAGCAGGACATGGAGCGTGTGGGCTGCAAGGGCACCTGCCCTCGGCAGAACCAGCTCCACTGACCAACAGGCTCCGAGCCAGGTGTGACAGGACAGAAAACCCTCTCGAACTACTGTGCAGAAACCCCATTTTCTATTGTTTCTGTGGCATGGTTACCAATAGCTAATATTATTCAACAACAGAAAAGATTTCTTGTAAACTTCATATATTTATTGGTTTTTGGGGGGACAAATTAGATCTCATGAATCCCCAAGTGTACATATATATTTATATATAGCTTTCTCCATAGGGAAAACATATATCAAAGGAGGAGAGACATTCCTAAAGTGCCTCTTGTCATACAGTACTGAACGGGATTTCTAAGAGCATCAGTGTAAATCCAAAGTTTCTGAGCAGGAATAACAGAGGTGGAGAAGGAAGGGCTGTGGCTGCTTTCTTCCCACAGAACAGAGAGAAGCTTGCTGACTTAAAACCAAAAAGAAAAATCCCAAAGAATGTTTCTGGTAGCCCTGAAAAAGGCAGCTGAAAACAGGGGTACACACAACATCTGGAGCAGCTCCTGGGCAGGCCAAGGGGGATGTTCCTAATGGGAGGCCAACACCCACGAAGGGGATCAGACAAACAGACTGCACGGCACAATTCCAAGGGGAAAGAAAAACTGGCCAAGACACAGGACTGGGCAAGGCAGGGGCACTCTTTGCTCTAAACCATAAGGGAGTAGAGGATGAGGTCAGCAGCACCCCTGTCCAGACAGCACAGGCCATTCAGTAACCCAGCAGCAAGCTCATCTCCCTGGGGCTCAGCCAACACTCCTGCACTGAGCACATTCTCAACCTGGCTCCTTCTCCTTCCATGAAGAGAATTTGTCCTTTTGTGAGTTGGAACAGTAAAAAAAGGCAGAAGAACACGTCCTCCCCCTCCTGACACTGCTGCAGAGGGCAAAGCCACACTCCCTCCTGAGAAGGGAGTGACCCCGTTGCACATGCTCAGCGTTGAGGAGTTTCTGATGAGGAGAAACTGAGCCATACCCAGCCCTGTCTCTCAAATACTGGCACACTATGGCCTCCTTGGGAAAGCACCTGCAGGGACAGAGGACAACACAGTCCTGGCAATTCTGGGAATTCCCCAGTGTTAGTGATGCACTGGAATGAGAACAAATGATCTCCTTAAATGGGTTCTATGAAAAGAAATCCTTCGAGGTTTGTCCATTCTGCAGGAGCTGTGCTGGCAAGCACAGCCAAGACTTTCCTGAACTTAAGAATGCATGAAAGAAAAATAAAACAAGTGGTAACTGGGGCTTTATGAACAGACTTCACAGAATTCCCAGTGACACCTGCTCAGAAGGCACAATCAGCCCTGACCTCTGCAGTCACTTCTGCCTCCAGACCAGTTTTATCTGGGGATAGTATGGAACAGGCAGATGTTCTCAATTACATCCCTGACACTGCTCACACCAGTCCCCAACAGGCTGAAGTCCTGCTAGAGCCAACAGGTCTTTATGGCAGAGTATGGACGCTGTTTTCCAGCAGGACACAGCCCTGTGAGGTGCTCAGCCACCCCCTCCTCCTCTCCCAGAGCTCCTGGGCAGATGTGGGACCACCCTCCCATCCTGCCCTGGGAGAGGGGCTGCTGGCTACAGCAGCTTTTTGCCTGCAATAAGGACTGTGGAATACTTGTTTTAAAAAGAGAGGAAGACAGAATGGAGATCATTCACAGCAGCAGCTACACACACTGTGCAAGGACCAGAACATGCAGAGAGCAGCACAACACACCCTAAGCAGCCTCCCGGGCAGGCTGGCAGATACCAGCAGGGCCAAACAGCATTCCTCCTCCCCTGGTCTCTGGGATTTGCCACTGACCTCAGACAGGTCTGCCCCAAGCCCAGGAAGGGGGAACGGGAGGGTCCTGAGGGATGAGGGTTCTTTGGTGCACATCTTACGGTCAGACACGAGCTCACACTGATCTCCTGCAGCAAAGCCTTATCCTGCATAAGGAGAGACTGCTTCCTTGTCAAAGGGAACAAAGCTGCTTGAACTGCCTGCGCTCTGGAAGGGAACCACATCCCCTTTTATCCCTTTCCAAACCCACCGGCTCCCACACCAAAGCGTGGTCAGGACAGAACAAATTAACAAACATTAAACCATGCAGCAAATCTACCTCATTTCTCTATGTCTTCTTGTCCCAGGTTCCATTCACCAGGCCTCAGCAACGCCCTGCAAGCTGCCAGCACAAAGCGTGTGCCTCTGCCAAACAACAAACCCAAGAAACCTGGGGGGAGCTTGGACCGGCAGGAGGGACCCTGACCAGGGCCATGCCATGCACAGAGATCTGCAAAATCAATTATTGCATCAGCAAACCAAGCCAGACAAAATACAAATTCCTCCAAAAACAGGCAAACAAAGCATTGTCAATCATTAAAATAATAAAAACCTGTATTTTTTTTTGACATAGCTATAAAATCATGTCATTTATAAAATGGCAACAAATCAAGTCTGGTTGTGTATTCTTTTTCCTTTTATTAGACAGGACAGAGAATTTCCTTAAAATGCCATAACAAGTCACAGTGATTTTAGATGGTTTTTGAAATGTAATATATTGATGGGAGATACCTTTAAAATGGTTTGACTCGTGGTTTGTTGTTGGGGGTTTTTTGTCACTGTACTGTGGTCCACCAAACCATCTATCTTATAGTTTCTTGTTTAGAGAGGACACTCTGGCTTCTTCCTCCAAAAATGAATTTTGTCTCATAATCCTGCAAAATAATCAACCTTACAAAAGGCCTTCAAATGTTATATTTATATATATATGTATATACATATATATATACACACACATACACACATATATATAAATATAGACTTCTATGATTTTTTTTTTCCCATTCTACGCAATGTCTCAATAAAGAGATCAGCAATTTTTATTCTACAAAGAAGCAACACATAAGAGGGCGAAATTAAAGTCTTAAGAACATCATATCCATAGTTCACTCATTACACATAAAAGGAAAAAAAATCACCATGAACAACTGTCTTTGAAGTCTCTCGGTGGCGCGGCCCGAGCGCGGCGCGGCCCCGTCCCGGTGGCAGGCTGGGTGCGGGGACAGCCCGGGCACGGGGGCAGGCTGGGTGCGGGGACAGGCCGGGCACCGGGGACAGGCCGGGCACCCGCACAGCCCGGGCACCGGGGACAGGCCGGGCACCGGGGACAGCCCGGGCACCGGGGACAGGCCGGGCACCGGGGACAGCCCGGGCACCGGGGACAGCCTGGGCACCCACACAGCCCGGGCACCCGCACAGCCCGGGCACCGGGGACAGCCCGGGCACCGGGGACAGCCCGGGCACGGGGGACAGGCTGGGCACCGGGGACAGGCCGGGCACCGGGGACAGCCCGGGCACCGGGGACAGCCCGGGCACGGGGGACAGGCTGGGCACCCGCACAGCCCGGGCACCCGCACAGCCCGGGCACCGGGGACAGCCCGGGCACCGGGGACAGGCCGGGCACTGGGGACAGGCTGGGCACCGGGGACAGCCCAGGCACCCGCACAGCCCGGGCACCCGCACAGCCCGGGCACCGGGGACAGGCCGGGCACCGGGGACAGCCTGGGCACCCGCACAGCCCGGGCACCAGGGACAGGCTGGGCACTGGGGGCAGCCCGGGCACGGGGGCAGCCCGGGCACCCGCACAGCCCGGCCCCGCCGCCCTGGGCGTTCCGCGCCTCCTCCCGCCGGCCGGGCGTGGTTGGAATGTACGGAGTTTCCTTAGGAAAGGTTGCCAACAAGACCTCGCCGTGGAGCGTCCCCTCTAGGCCAGCTTCAGCGTGCTCACCGGGAACGACGGCATGGTCACCATAGTCACGGGGTTTAGGACCGTCTGGCCCACCAGCTGCGGGTGATGCACCACCTGGGTTCCCACGGCCGGCTTGGCCATCACGGCCGGCTGGCCCAGGCCCGCCGTGCCGTTCACTTGCTGGTGCGAGATGGTGTGAGCGATGTGGCTCACCACGGGCTGGCTGACGGCCACGGGCTGGGGGTAGATGGGCAGCTGCGGGCCCAGGTGGGCCATGTGGTTGATGGTGGCCGGGTGCACAGTGATGTGGCCGATGGGCTGAGCGGCGGTGGTGAGTTGCACGGGGCTGGATGTGGAAGGTGCAATGTGAGCAATGTGCTTGGTCTGTGGCCCCTGAATGACGTGGTTGACGGTCTGGATGACCGAGGCGTGGGTGGTGGCCGTGTGGGCGATAACAGTCGATTGCACGGTCGAGGCCGCCACGATGTGAGTCTGTGTGGGGACGATGGCCTGCGGCGGGACCAGTGCCTGCGGCTGCAGGGAGGGCTGGGCGTGGGGCTTCTGCTGGATGGACACGTGCGGGGGCAGGACCGTGGGCAGGGGGGCAGCAGCACTGGGGGGGACGGCTTTCAGCAGCTCCGGGTGCTGGCGCTGGGTGAGTTTTGGTAACGAGTTCGCTGGCCTGTCATCCTCCATATCTTCATCCATGTTGTCTTCACCCTCTGGAAAACACGAAAGGAAGAAACTCCCATAACAACGCATGCAGAGCACGAACTGGACCAACGAGCTTCCCTAGCAGGCAGCATCAGCAGAAAGGACGTGCAGGAGGCGTCCCTGAGCTACAGGCTGGTGGCACAATGGCACGGTATGGTATGGCATGGCACAGCCCACTCCTCACTGCCTGTGGGCCGAGGACCAGGCAAGTGTGAGAGCTCAAAAACCCAGCTAGAGCAGGGTGCTCCCAAAAGGCTGCGAGGTCTGTCTGGGAAGGCAAGGGGAGCACCATGAGCAGAGGCTGACAGAAAGCACCTGGCTGAGCTGTCTGGGCTGAAGTGGCCTCCTGGGAGGAGGAACAGGGTTTCCTTTCCTGGCCAGTTGTTCCAATGATTGGCACCATCCTTCTGCTCCCAGAGCAGGAAGGAAATTGCCATGAAGAAACATGGCAGCAAGTCTCTCATCTGGTTCTGGAAAATGGACTCTTGCCTAGTCCAGGAACTAAGGAAGCATAAAACAGGAGCATACTAGTCCTGAGATCAGGAAGACAAGCCTGGCACCCTGCACTGCCTGTTCTAGTGCCAGCCATGCAGCAAAGAATAAAAATCTCAGGAGACACAGAAGCAGCAGGAACACCAGGAAGCCACTTCCCCTTCCCAAGCTCTGGGAAGCAGCAGCTTGATGTGGTCACTTTCAGCAGAGGCCACTGCAGAGGGAACAGCTGGCACTTGTAAGGACAAAGCACTGGGACTCCCAACTTCCATCAGACTACACCTGGAGCTGCTCCTACCATCAGAGGTGATGAGCCTGAACAAATCCTGGTCTTCCCTTCCCAGAACCTGCCATATCATCTGCCTGGCATGCCAAGAGCAAATGCTGACTTGAAGGAACTGCTGTAAATGCTTCTGCACTGCTACAGCCTCCGTGTCTCTGGGAAGCTCTGCATCCACAGACTGCCTACTCTTCCTGCTGCAGATCCCTGGCGTGGAGAGAAGCATGCATTCTCCTATCTCACAGAAACTTATCACAGGAACTGCATGTCAGATATCCATTAGTGTCATTTCATCTTCACTGTGAATCCTCCTCACGCAATGTGAAGGCTCATCAAGTTGTCCAAATGCTCTGGTGATCCTCTCTGTACCAAATCCTTCTTCTGTATGTGCTGAACACCCTCCCACATCCACACAAACACACCAGGATGCCCACTTCTAATGAACAGGGCTGCAGAAATGTGCAAGAAAAGAGCTAAGTTTGGAAAGCAGGGATTTATCTCCACAATCAGGTCACATGAGCAAACCTGCACATTATATCTACCTGACACTCATACACAAGTTTCAGTTTACTTCACATGAGCAGCCGTGTGTTGTTAGCAACATCAATCATTACAAAAACTCCAAAACCTCTTACTTTATTCAGAATGCAAAGAAACCCTGATGCTGCTAAACGAAGATCCCCACCACTCCATGTAACTGTGTCAATGACATGCCAAGGTAATTACGGAAAAAGAGAACAACTGTGGGTACCTGATGCTGTCGAGGTAGATGCCTGGTCATCCTCTGGCTGAACTGTCTGTCGAATAATTCTGTCAATCTCCAAGACATCCATCCACTGGCTCAGCTCGTTCTTCAGTTCTGCCAGCCGCTGCTGCGTAGCGATCTTCTCCCTCGCCAGTCGCTCCATCTCGTGTTCGTATTCTTTTTCTTTCCTCTTTAAAGTCTGAAGTCAAAGAAAAGAAAGAGAAATATAATGAGAACAAAGACAAGAATAACCTACACTAATCTGGTCACTCCCATGTCCACAGCTCATTATCTTATACTGCCAGTTATGCTGGTGTAAAACGTGCTCAGGTATATTTACACCTCCCAAATGCGGGCAGAAAGGGAAGGACAGAGCTGGCACATAAAGCATTGCTCTAGTTGAACATCTGCTCTCTGAGGGAAAACTGGTAAGGCCCCAAAACGGAAATGCTTAGAAAGAAAGAAAAAGCCTAAGTACCGATGAGCTTTTGAGCAAGAGCTCCTGACCTAGAGGAGATGGTGGACGGTAGAACCAACAAGCCCCTGCATCATGGGGAAATCCTGAAGTCAAACAGGAAGGAAAGGTGTTTGTTGTCCTCTCCTGCTAATGCCCCCTTGGTGCTGGGAATCACCACATCCATTGATAAGGTCAGGGGAGCTGCTGCATCAGTCAGCACAATACAGAGAAATGTCCCACACTGCCCAGCACTACTGCTGGGAAATACAAACCACACTCCCCGGGGGGACCAACCATTCCAAGGCCTGTTCTATGAGTTTTTAAATCAGTGTAGCACTGCAGAGTCAGAGGCCTGGTCCCTCAGCCCAGGGCTACACTTACTATATGCATGAGACAAAATTAGGTGAAATCTGTAAAACCACGTACAGACTCTCCATTTTCTGAAGTTAAGTTTCAACACTGGGAATTTAAATCCCACACACACTTCTGAAAATACCAGCCACACAGAGCCCACAGGGATGCTCGTGTTCCCTCACTGCTGGCAAGCACTGAGCTCAAAAGCAAACCCCACACCTGGCAGAGGACCAGGCTCATGGTCTTCTTAACACATCTCCTTATTTCTCTCTCAGGTTCTCCAGGATGAGTACAACCAGAGCCTGACCTCATGCCTTTCAATCGTTCTGCTGGTGTTGTAGCTCACAGGTTTGCTGGGAAGGACCTTAAAGCCTGTTCAGACAGCCTTTAATGCAGCCTAAGGCAACGCAGATTAGGGCAGCTCCTGCCAGCTACCTTTGTCCCAGTAACAGCAATAAAGGAAATATTTTTAAAAGAGCCAAACAATGTGTGTTAGCAGGGCACAACCACTGCAGGTGTGTCAATGGAGACAGCTCCTCTCCCTCCAGAGCAGCTAAAAGCTCCTCAAAACAGCGGGTTTTCAGGCAAAAGGGGCAGTTCTTTCTCTCCTGCTGCTTTCCAAGCCAAACAGGCAGCAGAGAGACCAACACCATGTCCTGGGCAAGCCCAGCAGCCCACTGCAGGGAAGTAGCTGTGGGGACAGCCAGAAAGGAAGGATGGGGACTCCTGGAATCCTGGCTCTGCACCAGCCCTGACCTGTAGCCCAGAGATTCCCATGTGGCTGAGGCCCAAGTCCACAGGCTAGTTTTAAAGTCTGTTTCCTGTCGAGTGCAGCCAAAGCATTTTGCCTGACCCAGAAAAGTCATGTGCTGTGTGTGCTCTGACTGCCTAGCAAAGGCGTGTGGGTGAGACAGGGAGTGATGGAGGGGAAGGTGATGAGGAAGGCGCACGCTCCCAGATCAGGTTTAAACACGCACGACTTGCATGCAACTCGTCTGAATGTCCTCCCCTCACTGTGTCATCAGGAAAGAGGCAAGTAGAAGAAAGGCTGAGGCTAAACCTGCTGTGCAAACATGAGCCCAGTCCCTCTCTGCAGCATCTCCACGCAGGGCACGAGAGGACGGGAGAGGAGCAGGCAGAAATCCCCGCAGCCGCCTGGCGCCGCAGCGGGCACAGCACACGCATATTCAAACAGATCTGGCTTCGCTGCCTGCTGCCAGAGGAGACTCCCAGCACCGGGGAAAGCACCACTGCAAAGTATGAGCAGGGCCGCTGGTAATTAGTTACAAACTTTTAATTACTGGGAAGGCAGGCAGGCAAACCCTTAGCAAGCACGAGGACAAGAGAGCCAGGGAGTTCACTGTGTCACTGTGCAGGCACTCACAGGCACTGGGACATGGCACTGCTCCAAGCCCAGCCCTGTGGGCTCTGCCTCGCTCCGTGCCAGCAGTCCCAGCTCCTGCCTGGGTGCCAGCCCCGTGCTGGGCCTGCATCTCCTCCCGGGGCTGCGGCACATGGGCTGGAGGAACCCGCAATATTTCAAAACCTATTCTAGGATGCAATTCACCAGAGCTCACTGGGTAAAGACACATCTCCAGGCTGAGCTGCTCTGGCCTCATAATGAACTGGGTGGGATGAACTGGAGCCCTCTTCCCTCTCCTCTGAGCTCCCCTCCCAGCACGGCCCACTCTCTGCAGGCACACACGGGGGCAGTCCCCTCCCAGGCTCTGCAGGGAGTGTGCCCTGCCCTGGGAGCTGAGCCGCGGAGCAAGAGCAGGAAGGAGCACCCGTGCAGGGACCCCCCTGCCTCCGTGGCTCTCCCTGCGGGCACACACAGCTCCTGGCACCCGCCTCCTGGCAGATTATTTTCTGCAAATCATCCTGCCCGCACCAGGTGCCAGGATTTCCCGTCAGTCAACAGAAAGTCCACAGTGACAGCCAACCCTGAGTCATTGGGACTGCGGTCACCGACCTGCCCCGGCACATCAAAACCTTTAGAGACTCACACTGATCCCCTGGATGTTTTTCTAAAACAGGAGTTTCTGTCAGCACTATCACCACGGATCCCATGCAATACAAAACCAGACGCTTTAAAATAACATATAGCCACACAGACACTTTTCCCCAAACCCAAGCCTTTGCAGTTTTCCAACAGAATGGGAATGTAATGGTAGCACTGAGAAGGGCAGAGGGGACCCTAAAACTACAAACAACACAGTAATTGAGAATTAAATTTGATAAAATAAATTCATACAAATGCCTAACCACCTTTCCTTTGAAATTTCAGTAAAGCAGAGGCCTGGGCCAGCTGCAGGGCAGGAGCTGCCACCTGACCCACCTCCACAGCCACTGGGCAGGACCATGGCAAGGGGTCACATCTGGGGCTGGCACTTGGGATGGCAGTTAAGGTGCCTGCCAAGATCCTGAAGGACACACACTTAACCTGGCTCATGAAATACTGATCCTGTTTCTCCACAGCAGAAAAATCACTGAAGTTACCTGCATTTCTGTTTTCCCACCTCCTCAGGGAGAGGCCAGGCGGGGCTGGTCCCAGGAAGGCCAGGCATGGCCCTCGAGCTCTGTTCTGTTTGCAGAGGGCAGCCCAAAGCTGGGGGTGGCTCTCACTGAGGCCACCCCATCCCAGACTGCTCTTTGCAAGCACCAGGCTCCAGCACAGACCCTCCTTCTTACGTCTGCATCTCCATCATTGCAGCATTTCTTTCTCTCCTGTTAAGCAATTGGGAATCCTGGTTGCCCAGGCAACTGTTACACTGCAGTGTGAGGAACCTACAGAAGCTATGACTTTAGAACTCTTTTATTTTTCACACTTAAAAAAATTCCACATGATCATCACTGAAAAGAGTAGGCCCTGGCCATGCCAAGGGGGAAGCTGAGCTACCCCAGGAAGAAATAACGGATTTCCTCATACTCTCGTGAATCCATCTATGGCTTTTGATGCTTGGGAAGTTTTGCCAATCAGCAGCTGGCTCTGGTGGAAGCAGATGATGTTCCTCTCTGAACACTCAGTGCTGCTGAGCTGAAGCTGAGCAGGGCCTGCCCCTGCCCTGGCAGGCAGCCCTGCACGGGCACAGCAGGGGCTGCTCCTGGGCAGGTGGGAGCTGTGACAAGGACACAAGGGCAGTGCTGAGTCCCTTCATCTTTTATTGAAACACCAGCAACCAAATTAAAATCCACATGTGGGTTTGCTTTGACCCCCCTAGAGCATCTGATTCTCCTCCTGTACCTGTCAGCTCCTTGGCAGCCTTTATGCACCTGGATTACTGAAGCGAGACCAGCCGACTGCAGGGACAGCAAAGGCCTGACACAATTCCAGTGAGAACTCTTCCCCACTCTGTGCCCACCATCCTGGCTGGTTTGCAGCCACTCTTAGGTCCTTGTGTGCATCTCCTTGTCATCATTTGGTAAACAAACCATACATCAACTCCTGCTCTCCTTGTATAGCAACAGTCATTTGTCACTGCAAAGAATTTTCCATTTTATAGCCGTCTGTAATTAAATTGCTCACTCTCCTGTCAAGACAGAAATAATGCCCCCAACGCCTTCCCTGCACCTGCCTCAGGAATGCTGCTGGCCCTGTGGCTGGCATTGGAGAGGTTTAAAAGGCCTTATTACACAGCTCCCCTCATAAACATTTTATTAGCCGTTTAAAAACACACTTTCAGTTATGAGTTTTCCAAAGCATATTTCAGCTCTTTTCTTCTGTAACATTTGCTGATTGAAAATACCTCATCAATAAGCAATCGGGAGAGTGATTTGCAATTTTGAGCCAGATAATCTCTAACTCTCTGCTCTGGGGATCACAGCTGGTGCCAGAGAAAGGGACATGCTGAGCCAGGGGGGCCCTCAGTTACCACTGACCTGCAGGACCTCCAGCACAGACCAGACCAGTTGGTCAGGCTCTCCACTGCTGCACAGAGCTTTGATTCCTATATGTAATGGAAAAAACCCTACATCCTAAGGACGTTATTCTAGCTGGGACTGCCATGGTGCAGGAGATTCACAGCAGGAGCAAGAATCCACCAGCCTGACTCCAAAAAGGTTCCAACCAGAACCAGAGAGATGCTGGGGGAACAAGCTGTCCCCACACAGTCCCAAATGGAACCCAAACAGCCCCAGCTGCCAAAACTCCATCGGCCAAGGCACTCACCTGTAGGATCTGGGGATTTTCCATCACTCCTATCAACTCTGAGCATTCCTGATTCGAACGGTGCTCATTTGTCTATGTTGCTCAGCTGCCACAAGCAGTTTGTTCACGGCCCGGCACCGACACCGAGCGCACGCCCCAAGCCCACCCGACCTGCTGCCCAGGAGCAGAGCCTGCGGGGCTGGCAGGGCGAGCAGCCAGCTCCCCGGCGCCAGACCAGCGT